TAGAGGCTCAGGTGGCGCTAGTGTGCTGTTGCATTTTGAAGCAGACAGCAAGCAGCCAGAACTTGACTTCTGGTAATGCGTTTTTATGAAAAAAAGCGAGTGCTTTTTCTCTCTGCACTCGATTATAAGAGCAAATATCACGAACAATTTCTACGTACTAGACTCATTGGAACATTTCTCAGTCACGCAGATGAAATAATTGGTCAGTTACAGCATTTTTATTTGAAATTCGTGGCGTGAAAAACGGTGTTAAAACCGCTTCGTACATGTATTTATGTGCACTGTCGGAGACTGTTAACGCAAATAACGCAAAATGAAATAAATAAGTGCTGCTTTGTCTTTCTGCTCGTGAATATGTGCGAAGATGCTCGTTCTGGGTTCAAATATCATCACCCGCCTGCTCCAATTCTTTGCAAATAGGGGGAGCCAGAGAGCAAGTGCCCGATAAAAACTGCCCGACCTAGGAAATAATAAAGACACACCTTTTGTAGCTCACATGCTTTTTTTTTTTTTGCATTCAAATGTTTTTTTAAACGATCGTAAAGATGCATGACGGAGTCATTTTCATCCAATGACAGGACGGGCATATTAGCAATATATAAGTACCACCGAAATGCTAGCAAACCTTGAACGCACTCTACATTCCTTTCGACCATTAGTTTGCTTAGAATCGTCCCTCGTTTTCACATACCTTCCTTGAAACAGAGGTTTGGGCCTGAAATAGAGCAAAGTTTAACATCGTTCAGTAGTAAAGAAAAATGCTGTCACTAACAGTTACACTTTCAGAATGCCAATAAAGGTACATACTAGTGAACAAAAGATAAGGGCGCAAACGAGCTGGCGGTGGTTAAACATTTCGACAAAAACCCCGAGACTGGGACAAAAAGGGACGGACAAACACAGTCTCAAATTGAGACTTTGTGCGTGTCCGTCCCTTTTTGTCCCAGTCTCGGGGTTTTTGTCGAAATGTACATACTATCCGGCAGGCACGTAGCCAGGATGTTGTTTCGGGGAGGGGGGGGGGGGGGGTCGCCCCCCCCCTCCTTGGGGCCTGCCTATGACAAAATCAAATACTACAAAATGCTGTATGAGGGGGAGGGGGGAGAGGAAGAGGTCCCAGCAAAATGGACAATTTTGGGGGGGGGGGGGGGGGAGCCGGGCACTATGCCCCCCCCCCCCCCCCCGGCTACGTGCCTGCTATCCGGTACAACCAAAATGACAAAAGTTATTCATGTTATTTTCCGGCGAAGAGACAATATTAACGTGCGTTTTCCCATAGGAATACACAGGGAGGCTGTAAATTTAGACTGCATACTGTCTGCTTCAATTTGCAACCGGAAGTCCTGTAGACACTAGCGCCAGCTGAGCCTTTAGCGTTTATTGTAATAACTCTATGTTTATTATGATATGGGCCACCTGCCTTTCTGCGGCACCTCGGCTCTCCTGAGCCAAAATAAATTATATATTATGTATTCTGTAATCGTGCAACAAACTTCGAAAACATGTGTGCGGGTGTGTGTGCATTAAGAATCAAAATATAGTATAATTTTCTTTCATATCACATATAACGACGAATGTGCTGTTTGCTTTCTGGCATGTATATGAATTGATTTAGTTGTGTATTGGTCAGAATAACTGGTGTGCATGCAAATATTGTCATTATGGCATAATCAGCTTGTGTAAACCAGTAATGCATCAGCAGATGACTAACCTGTTGCCGAATGTCTGCAAAAAGCCAAGTGCAATACCTGCGTCGGACGGCAATGAAGGAATGTCCATTGGACACACTCCAGATTCACAGGGGAGCCTCGCATCCATTACCAAACTGCAGGTTGACTGATTGTCAAGTCAGCATGACTATGGCCGGACTTAATGTGCGCTCTCTCTCTCTCTTACGGCCTCTCCAGTGAGGCGTGAAAACACCTATGAGGCTAGCTGGAAGTGCCACAGGGCGCCCGGTAGCCTCGGCCATAGGCGGTGTCACAAATCAACCTACTGTCAACATTACTTGATCAACTTCGTTGCAGAACTCCTGCGGAGAGGGTTATCCCCCACACCCTGTTTGGCTAGACTTGCTGTTCGAAGCACAAACCTTTTTCCGTGGTGCGAAAGCGTCTCGCGATAGCAGTTCAGAATGCTGCCGCAGCGTCCACAAATAGTGGTGCTTCAAAAAACATGTCTGATGCAAGGAGTGAGGGGGGTGCATGCATTACCCCAAACTGCAGGTTGACATTGCTGAGTGACCACGACAGACAACGTGAGAAATTGCACTGTGTCTGCGAATGTGTTCATATGAATAAGAATTCTCTAAGGAACCCCAAACATTAACAGGGGTGCTTTTACAGTTTCGTCGCTCTTGTATGCGAAGGGCAAGTTCGTCTGCTTCTTGCGCAGGGGTAGCGGTGACGTCAGAACGCCGAGCCCTGACTGGCTGATCGTGACCCCCCTATCTGAGCATTGTCTGCTCCTTTGCAACGTCGTCTGCTCACAACGTCGTCTGCGCCAGTCTCACCTTTCCTGCGACTTTCGGAAGTGCAGAGGCCAGGTTCACGAAACGATCTTACGCCAAAAATGTGCGTAAGACAAAACTTAAGAACAAATTCATATTTACGAAACAAAATTTTCGTAAGTTTTGCGCAGGTTACGACGAAGTCCTACGACAGCTCCGAAGCTGTCTTAAGCGCTTCTTATGATCAAATTAGCATGGCCGACAGCACCGTGGTCGCGACGACCCACGGACGTTTATTTTTCTACGTGCGCTTCTCATGCGTCCAGACTTCAAGCAGCAAGAAAAAAAGTAAAAAGTACTTCACACAGACAACGACGAACAAGAACGCTGGATCCACAAACACTTGTGAAAAGCTCCAACGGCCACGATTCCACCGAACGCGACCAAGCGAGCTGGGCAGTTAGGCCTAGGAGGCACTCCGCGATTGTCTGCCCACGACCGGCTGGCGTGCTGAATGGAATATGCCCGCGTGACCCTTGTGAACCCTTCCCGTATTATACTTTGATCGCTGACCTCAATGTTACATTAAAAGGTCTATTTCTTCCTCTTGTTATCTCCTTGTTTCCGGAGGCAACGGTGACTCTCGCCGGTGAAAAAGCGATGAATCTCCGACAGACGCAGGAAAGGTAAAGAAGCCATCGCTTTGACTAGCAGACGTAAAGCAGACGACGTTAACTGCGCCAACCCGCCGACGCCGTTAAAGAATAAAGGGTCTCGCCGCACACGAAAGAAGGGAAAAAGTATTTGGGAGGGAACTTGCGGACATGCTCACGGACACGCACCGAGCAAAGAACACTCGGTTCTTCGCAAACAAACCTCGGCGCCTCGGAACACCTCGCCAGTGAGTCCTTTGACTTCCCTCCTTGATGTGCGTCTGCTAGTTGTTAGACAAAAACAATGTACCGCTCGAGTTATTTCGTCTGTCCTCTCTGAAAGGCGAAGTCGAGCTCGCGCTCATAAAGACCTACACTTCTGAAAGTCGCAGGAAAGGTAAGACAGTCGCAGACGATGTTGAGAGCAGACGACACTGAGATAGGGGGTCGCGATCAGCCAATCAGGGCTCGGCGTTCTGACGTCACCGCTACTTGCTTTCTCATGCGCAAAAGACGAAAATGAGCCCACTTGCGAGGCGTATTGTTTAGGGATTCTAACAAACTTCCCAATTCCTTGCTGGGCTTGCAGCAGCCAAGCACACTGCATGTGCCATCGAGTGACGGCGGCACCTCCAGCGGAGACGCACAGGTGAGCGTTACATCCATTTGGAAACCCAGTTGCGAGCGACCATAGCAGACAACGTGAAAACCTGCACTGTGTGTGAATGTGTTCAAACGAATGAACATGCTCTAAGGAGCCTCAAAGATTAACAGGGGTGGTTTCACAGTTTCGTCGTTCTTGTATTGTTTGGAGATTCTAACAAACTTTCCAATTTCTTCCAGGACTTGCAGCAGCCAAGTGCACTGCATGTGTCACCAAGCGATGGCGGCACCTCCAGCGGAGATGCACAGGTGAGCCTTACATCCATTTGGAAACCCAGTTGCGAGCGACCATAGCAGACAACGTAAAAACTGCACTGTGTCCGCAAATGTTTTCATACGAATAAATATTCTCTAAAGAACCCCAAATATTATTAGGGGTGGTTTTACAGTCTTGTCACTCTTGTATTGTTTGGTTATTCTACAAAACTTCCCAATTCCTTGCAGGGCTTGCAGCAGCCAAGTGCACTGCGTGTGTCACCAAGCGACGGCGGCACCTCCAGCGGAGACGCACAGGTGAGCGTTACATCCATTTGGAAATCCAGTTGCAAGCGACCATAGCAGACAACGTGAGAAACTGCACTGTGTCTGCAAATGTTTTCATACGAATAAATATTCTCTAAAGAACCCCAAATATTACTAGGGGTGGTTTTACAGTCTTGTCACTCTTGTATTGTTTGGTTATTCTACAAAACTTCCAAATTCCTTGCAGGGCTTGCAGCAGCCAAGCACACTGCATGTGCCACCGAGCGACGGCGGCACCTCCAGCAGAGACGCACAGGTGAGCGTTACATCCATTTGGAAGTCCAGTTGCGAGCGACCATAGCAGACAACGTGAAAAACTGCACTGTGTGTGAATGTGTTCAAACGAATGAACATGCTCTAAGGAGCCTCAAAGATTAACAGGGGTGGTTTCACAGTTTCGTCGTTCTTGTATTGTTTGGGGATTCTAACAAACTTTCCAATTTCTTCCAGGGCTTGCAGCAGCCAAGTGCACTGCGTGTGTCACCAAGCGACGGTGGCACCTCCAGCGGAGATGCACAGGTGAGCCTTACATCCATTTGGAAACCCAGTTGCGAGTGACCATAGCAGACAACGTGAGAAACTGCACTGTGTCTGCAAATGTTTTCATACGAATAAATATTCTCTAAAGAACCCCAAATATTATTAGGGGTGGTTTTACAGTCTTGTCACTCTTGTATTGTTTGGTCATTCTACAAAACTTCCCAATTCCTTGCAGGGCTTGCAGCAGCCAAGTGCACTGCGTGTGTCACCAAGCGACGGCGGCACCTCCAGCGGAGACGCACAGGTGAGCGTTACATCCATCTGGAAATCCAGTTGCAAGCGACCATAGCAGACAACGTGAGAAACTGCACTGTGTCTGCAAATGTTTTCATACGAATAAATATTCTCTAAAGAACCCCAAATATTACTAGGGGTGGTTTTACAGTCTTGTCACTCTTGTATTGTTTGGTTATTCTACAAAACTTCCAAATTCCTTGCAGGGCTTGCAGCAGCCAAGCACACTGCATGTGCCACCGAGCGACGGCGGCACCTCCAGCAGAGACGCACAGGTGAGCGTTACATCCATTTGGAAATCCAGTTGCGAGCGACCATAGCAGACAACGTGAAAAACTGCACTGTGTGTGAATGTGTTCAAACGAATGAACATGCTCTAAGGAGCCTCAAAGATTAACAGGGGTGGTTTCACAGTTTCGTCGTTCTTGTATTGTTTGGGGATTCTAACAAACTTTCCAATTTCTTCCAGGGCTTGCAGCAGCCAAGTGCACTGCGTGTGTCACCAAGCGACGGCGGCACCTCCAGCGGAGATGCACAGGTGAGCCTTACATCCATTTGGAAACCCAGTTGCGAGTGACCATAGCAGACAACGTGAGAAACTGCATTGTGTCTGCAAATGGTTTCATACGAATAAATATTCTCTAAAGAACCCCAAATATTATTAGGGGTGGTTTTACAGTCTTGTCACGCTTGTATTGTTTGGTTATTCTACAAAACTTCCGAATTCCTTGCAGGGCTTGCAGCAGCCAAGTGCACAGCGTGTGTCACCAAGCGACGGCGGCACCTCCAGCGGAAACGCACAGGTGAGCGTTACATCCATTTGGAAACCCAGTTGCGTGCGACCATAGCAGACAACGTGAAAAACTGCACTGTGTGTGAATGTGTTCAAACGAATGAACATGCTCTAAGGAGCCTCAAAGATTAACAGGGGTGGTTTCACAGTTTCGTCGTTCTTGTATTGTTTGGGGATTCTAACAAACTTTCCAATTCCTTGCAGGGCTTGCAGCAGCCAAGCGCACTGCGCGTGTCACCAAGCGACGGCGGCACCTCCAGCGGAGACGCACAGGTGAGCCTTACATCCATTTGCAAACCCAGTTGCGAGTGACCGTAGCAGACATTGTGAGAAGTGTCTGTGAATGTGAATTCATACGAATAAATATTCTCTAAGGAACCCCAAACAATAATAGGGGTGGTATTACAGACTTGTCACTCTTGTATTGTTTGGTTATTCTACAAAACCTCCGAATTCCTTGCAGGGCTTGCAGCAGCCAAGTGCACTGCGTGTGTCACCCAGCGACGGCGGCACCTCCTGTGGAGACGCACAGGTGAGCCTTACATCCATTTGCAAACCCAGTTGCGAGTGACCGTAGCAGACAATGTGAGAAGTGTCTGTGAATGGGAGTTCATACAAATAAATATTCTCTAAGGAACCCCAAACATTAATAGGGGTGGTTTTACAGTCTTGTCACTCTTGTATTGTTTGGTTATTCTACAAAACTTCCGAATTCCTTGCAGGGCTTGCAGCAGCCAAGCGCACTGCGCGTGTCACCCAGCGACGGTGGCACCTCCAGCGGGGACGCACAGGTGAGCCTTACATCCACATGCAAACCCAGTTGCGAGCGACCGTAGCAGACAATGTGAGAAACTGCACTGTGTCTGCGAATGTGTTCATACGAATCAATATTCTCTAAGGAACCCCAAACATTAATAGGGGTGGTATTACAGTCTTGTCACTCTTGTATTGTTTGGTTATTTTACAAAACTTCCGAATTCCTTGCAGGGCTTGCAGCAGCCAAGCGCACTGCGCGTGTCACCGAGCGACGGCGGCACCTCCAGCGGAGACGCACAGGTGAGCCTTACATCCATTTGCAAAACCCAGTTTCGAGTGACCGTAGCAGACAACGTGAGAAGTGTCTGTGAATGTGAATTCATACGAATAAATATTCTCTAAGGAACCCCAAACATTAATAGGGGTGGTATTACAGTCTTGTCACTCTTGTCTTGTTTGGTTATTCTACAAAACTTCCGAATTCCTTGCAGGGCTTGCAGCAGCCAAGCGCACTGCGTGTGTCACCCAGCGACGGCGGCACCTCCTGTGGAGACGCACAGGTGAGCCTTACATCCATTTGCAAACCCAGTTGCGAGCGACCGTAGCAGACAATGTGAGAAACTGCACTGTGTCTGCGAATGTGTTCATACGAATCAATATTCTCTAAAGAACCCCAAATATTATTAGGGGTGGTTTTACAGTCTTGTCACTCTTGTATTGTTTGGTTATTCTACAAAACTTCCGAATTCCTTGCAGGGCTTGCAGCAGCTAAGCGCACTGCGCGTGTCACCCAGCGACGGCGGCACCTCCAGCGGGGACGCACAGGTGAGCCTTACATCCATTTGCAAACCCAGTTGCGAGCGACCGTAGCAGACAATGTGAGAGACTGCATTGTGTCTGCGAATGTGTTCATACGAATAAATATTTTCTAAGGAACCCCAAACATTAATAGGGGTGGTATTACAGTCTTGTCACTCTTGTATTGTTTGGTTATTCTACAAAACTTCTGAATTCCTTGCAGGGCTTGCAGCAGCCAAGCGCACTGCGCGTGTCACCGAGCGACGGCGGCACCTCCAGCGGGGACGCACAGGTGAGCCTTACATCCATTTGCAAACCCAGTTGCGAGCGACCATAGCAGACAACGTGAAAAAGTGCACTGTGTCTGCGAATGTGTTCATACGAATCAATATTCTTTAAGGAACCCCAAACATTAATAGGGGTGGTTTTAGTCTTGTCACCCTTGTATTGTTTGGTTATTCTACAAAACTTCCGAATTCCTTGCAGGGCTTGCAGCAGCCAAGCGCACTGCGCGTGTCACCGAGCGACGGCGGCACCTCCAGCGGAGACGCACAGGTGAGCCTTACATCCATTTGCAAACCCAGTTGCGAGCGTCCACAGCAGACGTGAGAAACTGCACTGTGTCTGCGATTGTGTCCATGCAAATAAACATGCTTTAAGGAACCGCATTATTGGTGGTGGTCGCACACTTCAGTTGCTCCTGGTGGTTCTAGCAATAAAGAATATCATTATCATATTTACTTGTGTAAAATAAACACTGCTTATGAAAGAAGCTCGTGCATCTTTCTTGCAGGGCCCCATTCAGCCAATCATCACGCTTTGCAGAACAAACAGCGAATAACAAAGTCGAGAAAGCAATTTTTCGCAAAAATGTGATTTGCATCTGAATGTTGGATTTGTAAAAAATCATGCATGCTGTCTCAGCACAAATATCATCAGATGGAGACAATCTCTCCCGTGACATTCGCTAGGCTCCTTCTGTTTATCACAGTGATTGGTTATCCTAGCTTGTCTCTAGGGTAAAGATGTGAAGGCTTTGTTTGTAAAAAGTGTGGCTATTACTCAAGTAAATACGCTCAGTGCACTGTGATGACAATGCTGTGCTGCGCGATTAAAGGATTTGTTTTCTTGTTTACAGGGATCTGCAGCTAGCCAAGACGAGTCTGATGACACATCTGAATTAGCTGCCCTTGTGATGTCATATACTCTACGTCACAAAGATGGCGATAAATCAACAGCGGACCTTCTGAGGATGTTGAACATCATTGCGCCTGGAAGGGTACCACAATCAAAGTACCTCTTGATGAAGGCTTTGGGTGCCCATACAGCTGAAGCGGACAAACATTATTACTGTTTAGTCTGTAAAGATTATTTAGGAGCTTCACTTGATATCTCCCACTGTGAGAATTGTGGGGCAGAAATTGATGTAGATTCTTGTCCGTTCTTTTTGGTAATACCACTGAAAGAACAGCTCCAGCGAATTCTCAGTCAGCCAAATCTCAAGTGGGTCCCAGCAACAAGCGTTGGGCCTTTGCTGTCAGACATAGCTCATGGTCTAGAGCATGTGAGGCTGTGTGAGGACTTCTCAGAGAACGACTTATCGCTTCTCTGGAACACAGACGGCATAAGGGTGTTCGAGAAGTCCACATATGACATCTGGCCGATACAATGCCAAATTATCCAACTTGATCCAAGCATGCGGAAAGCAAACATGCTGATGCCAGCCATTTGGTTTGGACACACCAAACCAAATATGAGTGCTCTGCTAGAGCCATTTACAAGAGAGCTTCAGGAGCTAGCATTAGGGTTTCCCTGCATTAGAGACGGAAAAACAGTCAACACACGTGTATTCGCTGTCGTCTGCTCTGTAGACGCCGTTGCAAGATCGGCAGTGAAGAACTGCAAGCAGTTCAATGGGTACTTCGGATGTGGGTGGTGCTACCACCCAGGAGGCTCTCATTACCCGTACCTGGACCCTGCACCTGAGCAGCGTTCGGAAGAAGCCCACACACTTGAGGCAGAGGAGGGAACTCCTGGAGCACCAGTCAACGGTGTCAAGGGTCCCTCACTAATCATGAAACTTCCTCGGTTCAACCCTATTGATGGGTTCATCCCTGACTATCAGCACTGTGTTTGTCTGGGTGTGATGCGGCAGCTCCTAAAGCTGTGGCTGGACACAGAGAATCACGACCAGCCTTGGTATGTAGGGACCAAGCTAGGGGTCATGAACGGTATTCTCCTGGGCATCCTACCACCCACAGAAATCACGCGCACACCCAGGAGGTTTGAGGAACGTGCCTTCTGGAAGGCTTCAGAATTTAGGGCACTCCTTTTGTTTTATGGTTATGTGGTTCTGAAGCCGGTGCTGCCGCCGCAGTACTTCCAGCACTTCGCACTGTTGGCCTATGGCACATACTTGCTGCTAAAACAGCAAGTGTCATTCACGGACATCTGTGAAGCTCGAGCACTGCTTTCAAAGTTTGTGCTGCAGATGGAGAGATTGTACGGCATTCAGCATATGTCGTACAATGTGCATCAACTTCTCCATCTGTCAGATGCTGTGATAGCATGGGGACCCCTGTGGGCTACTTCTTGCTTTCCATTTGAAGGAAGGAATGCAGTGCTTTTGAGCTACTTTGCAGGCACACAGTGCGTGGGCCAGCAAATCGCAAGGACGTTCATCCGATGGCAGGAGCTGGCCCCGTGGGTAAGCAGCATGAACCTCCCGCAGGCAGCAGAGTTTTTTGAAGAAATGATGGGACGGAAGACCATCGGGCGCACAGGCACCCAGATTCCGGGCGATGTAGTTGTTTACACTAGGCAGAGCTCAGGTGCTCAAGACATCCGGTTCGAGGTGGCACTCGAGAGGGCCCTGAATGCGCTACCATTAAGCATTGTCTATTATCACAGGTTTCAGTGCAATGGCATCCTGTGGCACTCCGAGACCTACCCAATGCCAAAAAGAGCCAACTGCGTTGCTCAACTGAGTGATGGTTCATTTGGCATTGTACAGGCACTCGCTGTATTTAAGCCATCAAGCACTAGGTCTCATGTTGAACACCTTGTTCTCATGGAGAAAATGAAACTGACACCAGTAGTTGGTTTCAAGGACGGACAGCTGGGGGTACAGTTTCTGTCTGTACGAGAAGGCATGCGATCGGGCGC